TTATTCCATCATCGGAGGCAGATCTCAGCCTTGGTTTGGTCGCTCCTGTAAGACTGCTTTACGCAGTAAGCAGGAGTGTTATCAAGCCTGGGCTGCGGCTTCGGCGACTCGAGATGTAAACACCAGCATACTTAAAAAGAAGTATAACTTCGCATCCAGGTCCTTTAAAAGAGTTATTGCCAAGGCAGTCAGAGCACATAGGCAGAATTGGCGAGAAACTAGTTCGCCTTCCTTCGGGAACCCGTGCATTCTGGTCTCTCGCCAAGGCTGTCCAAGGGAATTTCTGTAAGCCATCACTACTATCTCTGCACAGGGAGGACGACTCACTGGCCCACGACGCAAAAGAGAAGGCCGACCTTTTAGGCTCCCTTTTTGCGTCCAACTCGACTGTTGATGACGGGGGGACCACACCGCCGACCATCCCGCGGTGTGAGTGCTCCATGCCGGATGTGCGTTTCTCACAGCGCTCGGTTCGCAGAGCACTCCTCTCCCTTGACATCCACAAATCGAGTGGGCCTGACGGAATCCCCCCAATTGTGCTGAGGACGTGTGCTCCGGAGTTGGCACCGGTTCTAACGCGTCTTTTCCGGTACTCCTACTCCCTAGGCGTAGTCCCGAAATCATGGAAGACAGCTTTTGTCCACCCGATCCCTAAAAAAAGCGACCGCTCAGACCCGTCCAACTACAGGCCTATCGCCATCACCCCCTTGTTCTCCAAAATAATGGAATCCGTTATAAACTGCCACCTCATGCGGTACCTTGAGGATCACCAGCTGATTAATGTACGGTGTGCCAGTACGGTTTTCATCGGGGTCGATCAGCTGGTGATCTTCTGGTCTACTTAACTCATAGATGGGCGGAGGCAGTAGAGCCCAAGGGGGAGGCATTGGCCGTTAGTTTGGACATTGCGAAGGCCTTCGATCGGGTTTGGCACAAAGCGCTTCTTTCGAAGTTCCCTTCCTATGGGCTTCCCAAGAAATTATGCAATTGGATCACCAGCTTTCTTGCAGATCGGAGCATCAAGGTCGTTGTAGACGGTGCATGCTCCGACTACAAGCCTAATAACGCTGGTGTTCCACAAGGCTGCGTGCTATCACCAACGCTGTTTCTTCTGCATATCAATGATATGTTGCAAGCCGCTAGCATTCATTGCTATGCAAACGACAGCGTTAGTGATGCTTTATACACCGGCCGTGCTAATATTTCTCGGGAAAACGTTGCCGAGTACCGAAATAAATTTGTATCTGAAGTGTTAAACAATGTATCGGACTAGGGGCGACTAAATCTAGTCCAGTTCAATCCCCAGAAGACACAAGTTTGTAATAGGCTGCGTGCTATTACCAACGCTATTTCTTCTGCATATTCATGATATGATGCAAACCGGTAACATTAATTGCTATGCAAACGACAGCGTTAGTGACGCTTTATACACCGGCCGTGCTAATATTTCTCGGGAAAACGTTGCCGAGTACCGAAATAAATTTGTGTCTGAAGTGTTAAACAATGTATCGGACTAGGGGCGACTAAATCTAGTCCAGTTCAATCCCCAGAAGACACAAGTTTGCGCGTTTACCGCTAACAAGAACCCATTTGTCGTGTCTCATCACGTATCAGGGCACTCCCATTGTTGCCTCACCCAGTATCGGAATCCTCGGCGTCGACATATCGAGTGACGTGCAGTTTCGTGGTCACTTGGAAGTGAAGGCCAAACAGGCCCCAAAAAGCTTGGTGCTTAGCAAGGCGGGACAGTATTTCATGCCGGCACACCGCCTGTAACTTTATAAGGCGCAGGTTCGTTCTCAAATCTGGGGCTCCCCAGTGCCAGCTCCTTCCATTTGATCGCATCCATCACAGAGAGTTCGAATCGTCGGCGTCCGAGCTCTTTCTGATCGGCTTGACTCACTGGCACTGCGAAGTGAACTCTTCGCGTATTTTATCGATCTACCATGGGGAGTGCTCTGAGGAATTGGTCAGACAAATCCCAGCCCGTCCATTTCACCATCGCACATCGCGACAAAACTCGCGATACCATCCATACAATCTGGATGATTGGTGGTCCACCAATGTGCAATTTAGAAGTTTTGTTGCTAAACTTCCTTGTGGAATCGACTACCACCAGACTTTTCCAGACCGATACGACTTAGGGACCTTCAAGAAAAGAAAGAAACTTCTTTTAAAAAGGCCGGCACCCATCTGCAATTACCCCACTGTTGCAGTTGTGCATGGACAGTGGTATTCAATTACCATCAGGTGAGCGGCATGCTCGTTTGTCCATTCTCCTATAAAAAAAAGAAGTTTAGGCAGCAAGCCATATCAGGGCTCATGGTAGGAAAATTTCCTAATTTCTAGGGTCGATGAGGCTCAAAATCGATGAGGAGAATTATATATATAGCACATACTTTCATACTTGCAAGTATTTTCTGCTCGTACCAGGGCTTCCTACATTGAAGTGAAATCCTGGTTTTAAAACCTGGTAGTGTACATATATCTCATCTCGAGGACAGTTATTATACTCTTTGGTCTCACACAACAGTAAATGCTTAAACCATTGGGTTGTAGCCTGTAACAAGACAATTGATAAATAAAGCAATGATATTGGAAGTGACATTTATTGCTCATACAAGTTATAAAAAATATGTTTTCTATGAAGATATTATATATTGGATACAATTTTATTGAGACTTCTTCAAAGAAATCATAAAATGTTTTTCAAGGCACTACTACACTTTGTTGTCCAATCTCATTTTGCTTGATCTTCTCACAAAATTCACATAATATTAGCAAATCTTAATTTTACATTACTCTATACATACATCAGTCAGTATCATTATCACAAAAACTGGTGGAAACCTCACCATTACAACTTTAGTAGAGCAATTAGTTCATGAAACAATTAAATTGACATAAATTTATAGAGGTAAAGTAATTCTCAATATGGCAGTTAGATGTTATTATTAAAACTTATTTATTATGTATCTATTTTATTATTATGATTTAACTAAACAATTTATGTAACGCAAAAACCTAGGAAATGTAACAAAAACAAATAAATACCACCTGGGTTAATATATTCCTAAAAACAAAAATACATACAGTAGGTGTAATATTTAAAACAACACATTCTTGAATGTTTTTTTATTATAAATCTAATGTTTTTTTAATTTTACAAGTGTGAAGCGTTGGGTTTCCATAATTTGAATAGAAAATATAATAGAGAGTGTATAACAAAGAAGAGAAATACAAATTCTCATTATTTTATATCACTTCAACCATTTCAATATTTCTAAATATCATACATATTATTTTACCAACATGGAGTTCCACACACATATAAAGAGCAAATTATTTAAAAAAATCTAAATTTCAATAATATAAACAAGTAACTCATAATTAAGTAACTTCAGTAATGAAGAATTCATATTAAAATAGATCAGATCCTTAGTTTTAATAGCTTCAGATATCAATTTTATAAACACAAGTAATATTATTTATATTTATTTTATTTTAAATGTAGCAGAACTGTGCTAATCAGCTTCCATTGAAACAACTCTAGTCATCAATTTTTTGCTATCATGACACTTGTGCGCATTTATTGTTGCAGATTGTACATATTTCTACCATAAAAAATGTATGTAAACTTGTGATATGTTATATGCAGTTATAATTATATAGATAAAATACATTATTAGAAAATGATGAGATACACGAAGTGAATGATTTAAATTTTTATTTTTTATATTGAAGTTTTAAAAGTATTTTTAAGTACCATACTTAGAATTTTTTTTAAAGTACTAGACTACAAAAAATTTGTTTGAAAGCTAATTACTGTGTTAGCATTTAAGATGAATTCTCTGGTTAAATTAGTACTACATTTTTTAAAGTTATGTTTGTTTATTTACTGTTCATTTCATTATGTGTTCATTATATGAATGCCGTTAACTCCCACCGCACTCCCTCATAACGTGCCTCAAGCATTGCCTTTATAGCACCCATAGCAACGCTGAAATATATCTATGTCCATTGTTTGTGCTCCTGTGTGATTTCTAGTTTGTTACTGTCTTTGTTGTTGTTTTTGTTTCTGTTGACTTTTACATTAGTTAATTTGTGGTAAACAAAGAATGGAGTAATGGCAGTGATACAGAAACAAACAATTTCGATAAAATAACTGGTATCGTAGGTATGGATGTGTAAATATCTACCTATCAGTTTTTGTTCGTGCCTTTGTAAATAATTCATTTAAAATGTATAATGAAACTATAATAAAAATATCAAACACAATTCTATTCAGTGTTATTATTTTACTTTACTAACAAAATAAATTATTCAATAATATGCATTTTATCAACTTGCTTGCCCTTCATTTCTCTGTACGGCTTAGCTTTCCATTGACTCCCGTCGAGTTGGGGGTTGATACGTATTTTTACAGAAAAGTTACACTATTATAAGCACACACACAAAGTTAAAACATGCAGAAACGCGTAATTTTTGAGAAAAAAGTTATTGAAAATCAATTATTCTTGCATTGTTTATATCTAATCTTACCATAAAACTGACACCATTTTGTAATGTCATTGTCGTTAGTAGGAATGTCGATTCTTTCCGAAAAAGGTCGATTTTTAAATCGATTCATATCATAAGCTGATGTATCGATTCATAAAAAATCGATTTCTAACTAAATGAATGCATAGTAAATACTACAAAATGCATAAAAGTAATAATTCATTTTTACAAAGGAAAATATTAGAAATGAATTCACTTTTAATAATAATACTAAACTAAACCTTACATTTCTTTTTAAGTTTTATCAATGGTACTAAAAAAAATCTAGTTAATTATTATTTTACAGCGCATTGCTTATTATTATCAATTTAATGTGAGTTAAAAAAGTATTATTTTCTAAAGATTAGAATAGGAATGCAATTTCCTAAAAATAGTTTAGAATTATCAAATATTACTACCTACTATAATTTAGGTAAGCAAAAACATTATTTTCACTTTTCTTACTTCTTATTTCCAAATACTAATAATCTTGTGAGCATACTAGTGATGCAGGGCACTTGCTTTTGTTGATGCATTGTTAACATGTCTGGAGTATTAGACTCAAAATCAAGTGCAACTTTTTGACATACAAATGTAAGTAAGGTCAGAATATCCCTTTCTGTTGCTGAATATCGCAATTCTTCACAGAGAGCTTGCATGAACCAAGAGCCTCTTGTAGTATTTCTCCAGGAATAGTATCCTGGCACTGTAGAAAATACAATCAAAAAGTCTGCATGAATGGGAATTCTATACGAGGCACTAGAAGAACCATCAGTTTCTGTACGACTTGTAAGTGTTATACCACCATCCAGTTTATCACCTTGACAAGCTTGAATAAAAAAAATTTTGGGCTTACCAGCAAGAGTTGGGCATTTGTCTGCTGTAAAGTAGTACCAGAGATTGTCAGGTTTGTAATGTGTGTCTTTAGCATATAACATGCCTAGCTCACCGTGAGTCAATACTGCTACAAGTAAGCAATCATTGTCTGAGTGGTCCATTTCAGCAGTCTGACGAATGTAATGATTAATATCTTCAGATTTTAAATTATGTAGTACAGTAACTCGGAATCCCAGATTTTTGAGAACTTTAGATAAATTATCGCTATCTACGTTCGTACCAGTGCGAGACTTCAAGCTGTGAATATCGAAATGTTCATGGTTAAAGATGATTGCCATACCGCGATATTTGTGGTTCATATTATAATACGGAGCATTTCGGTCAACAGGCATTTTCCCATAAGGCCGTACAGAAGATGAATCGTGACTACCCCAAGCATCGCTAACATCATTACCGCCGTTTGGTCTTTGTTCTTCTAAGTTGCCATTGTTTTGTGGCTCTCCAGACATATTGACAGATTACTAAATATTTGATTTAAAATAATGGAGGACGACAAATCGATAGTTACAGTACACAGTAATGAAAATTAATTTGAAAACTTAAACGTTTCTATTTATAAGAGACAGGACAGTCAGATAAACTTACACTCACAACTCACAAGCACAGAGCACAGACTAATATACTAATACTAATATGAATATGATATGATTAGATTGGATTAGGTTATAGCTTGCTATTTATTTATCTATGAATATGATGTTTACCATAAATAAGCTAATATAAATGCTTATGGATGATATACACATCGATCACTAATAAAAACTAGATACACAATCAGTGACAAAAAATGGCATAAACGAATGTGCACCCATTCGAACATATGGGTGCACTTTTAATCTAGTAGCATTCGAATGCTCCGACGGTAAACATACCTCAGTGCTCGTTCAAAAAGTTTAAAAATCACACGTCCAAGACGCTAAAAAAGGATGGAATTTCATATTTACGTTAAGTATTAATATTAACATTATTTAATTGTAATAACTGTATTGTAAATACTGATATTTTGTCAAGAAATCATCGTAAAAGTATTTTTAAATTAAGTCTTAATAAAATAAGTCGTCATTGTTTGAGGTATATGCGTTGATTCTGTTCCATTTGTGGAAACGGTTTTGTTTTTTTATTCTTTTGTTATTAAAGTATAATTGTTTTTTTTTTTTTTTTGTTTAATGAGAGTTCTTTACTGTTTCTCTAAATATTTTAGTACTCGAAACGTCAGGAATATAAAATAAGTTAATATACGCAATAAAATCCGTAAAATTAGTTTCATTTAAATGTGTAGTGAACGCGTAAATGTAAGAAATCATTATAATTATTCAGTCTTATCCGTTTTATTTAAACATCTGTAAATATGAGCATTACGTCAACATTTGGACAATAATATTATTAGATTTTGCAAGAACTTTCTGTACTTATTTTTTATATTTAGTAACTATTATACTTAGATATAACTTGTTTGTCAAGCAATTATTTTAAATTTTTCACACAAGAAAAAGAATATATAAATAATTATGACTGTTTCAATTACTTTCATTACTAAATGAATGTGGTGCCCTATCCAAAAGCATATTTACATTCAGATAATAACATAACCATTACACATATACACCATAGAATAGAATAAAATATGCTTTATTAAGTAGACCAATTATTTAAAACAAGTTTAAAAAAATTGTAAAATTAAAATTACAGTAACAAAAAATATAGTCCAGTTCGACTCCACTCTCCTTGTCCAAGCGACGAGCCTCGGTCGTAAAATTTTATTGCTTTTTGTACGTTGTTTTGTCAATACAACTTTAGGCGTTTCACTTAAGATTGAATTTACATTAATGTATATTTATATCAACCAGAATTACGTCAAAACATTTGGCGACAGTTTTTAGAGAACTTTTGTATGGGATTGTGCATCTAGTTTTTTATTAGTGATCGATGGATATACACGATCCAGTTTACCGTCAATTTTGCAGCGCGCTTGAAGCGGCGTCTTCACTTGACGGTGTATAGCTATCAGTGTGCATAACAAGTCTGCTTGAAGCAAAAATTGAATTCTGCCGACTTCATTAAGTTTGCAGCGTCATGGAAACTTGAACGTGTGTATGATAGGAGTGGGCGATACAAAACGTATATAGTTATTGAATCTATATATTGCTTCAATATCGTATATCCGATATCGGCCTAACCAAAAACTATATATCGGATGAAACACTATATTGCTTGTGCCCGACAGCCGATCGCGATTTACGTTGATATTGTATCACAGTGGTATCGAAATCCGAAGTCAAACCGTATATTATACAGTATAACGAATGAATACCAAGCAGACTCGACCGCCGCTGACGCTCCACGTTAAATACCAAAGTAGAGATGGAGTGCGCGATTGATGAAACTTAAATAGCTACACAATACATGCGATTCTAAACTTTAACTTTCATCATCATCATTACAGCCCTTCACAAGTCCACTACTGAATAAAGGCCTCCCCCAAAGAATGCCACAAAGCACGGTCCTGAGCCACCTGCATCCATCGACTTCCTGCATATCTTACCAGGTCGTCACTCCATCTAGTGGGGGGACGCCCTTTTTTTTTTACATGGGGAAATGCCTACGCATACCCGCCTCGCGGGGGCAAGGACGGGTTATGTCGGACTCGCACCGACTAAAACCCCATGGTGTTCCACCCTCGTCGCATATTGGCAGGGCCACGGGAACGCTTTCGCACACTTCCGCGGCCCCACCTGCGCTGGCCACCCCATGGCGGCCCTTCCTCGGGAGAGGACCACTCCTCCCCCATCTCCTTCTCAGGTAAGGCGCACCAGAACACATGGCGTGCCCTCCTCCTCGGCCTCCAATTTCCAATGCGCAACAGACGCCCCCGTGTCCGATGCGCGAAGGCCATGGGGCCAGGAAAAACTAGCACTCAGAAGCACCGGCCTTCCTGGCCCCAGCGGCGGATCTGGTCTATGGCTCCGCCGCCAACCAAGATTCGGCTGCGGTGGGTAGGGAGAGCGGCGCCTCGCAATACCGACACTCCTCTCCCCCCGCAGCCCCAACACCACCACATCAATTGACGGTGCGGCCCCGTCAGAGTCGCGGAGGATAGGGCGAGTGGCGCAGCGCCATACCAACACTCCTCTTCCTCCGCGACTCCACCTCGGCTGCAGCGGTAGAGGGTGCGGACTCCCCTCTCACCGCAGCCCCCCGACACACATCCGAAGTGGGCTCGCCAAGCCCACTCGGAGTGGCCACCTCGGGCCGGCCCTACACCACGGGCCAGCCAAGGGGTTCCTCTTTGTTCACCGTGGGTGACCAAGCCACGGCTACTAAGCCCCCCCGCCACGACAAGGCGGGAACCCCTTCGGGGGGAGTGGGCGGACGCCCTACACTTCGCCTGCCGGTACGAGGCTGCTACTCGAGAACCTTTCTTCTCCATCGGTTGTCGGTTCTTCGAGCTATATGGCCGGCCCATTGCCACTTCAGCTTACTAATCCGTTGGGCTATGTCGGTTACTCTAGTTCTACTGCTGATATCCTCATTTCTGAGTTTATCACGCAGAGAAACTCCGAGCATAGCCCTCTCCATAGCTCGCTGAGCGACCTTGAGCTTCCTCATCCGGCCAGCAGTGAAGGACCACGTCTCAGTTCCGTATGTCATCACTGGCAACACGCACTGGGTGTACAGTCTCGTTTTCAAGTTTTGAGGTATACCTGACGAGAAGATGTGCCATAATTTCCCGAACCCTGCCCAACCGAGTTGAATCCGTCGATTGACCTCTCGGTCGAAGTTGGACTTACCTAGTCGGACTATTTGTCCCAGGTAAACATACTCGTCAACAACTTCGAGCTTAGTGTTCCCAACAACTACCGCCATAGGTGTGACATGGACATTAAACATGATCTTTGTTTTGTCTATGTTCATCTTAAGACCTATCCGTTGGGAGACACTATTGAGGTCATTGAGTATAGTGCTTAGGTCCTCCAGCGATTCTGCCATAAGGACTATATCGTCGGTAAATCGAAGGTGAGTGATGTACTCGCCATTGATGTTGATACCGTATCCTTTCCAGTCCAGAAGCTTGAAAACATCTTCCAATGCAGCGGTAAAGAGTTTCGGGGATATGACGTCACCCTGTCTTACACCTCTCTGCAATTGGATAGGTTTCGTACTCTGGTTCTGTACTCGGATAGCCATCGTAGCCCTACTGTACAAGCACTTCAACACTTCGATATACCGACAGTCAACTTGGCATCGCTTAATGGACTGCAGCACCGCCCAAATTTCGACGGAATCAAAGGCTTTCTCATAGTCCACATACGCCAGACATAGTGGCAAATTGTACTCCTCGGACTTCTGTACAATTTGCCGAAGCGTATGTATGTGGTCTATGGTGCTAAAGCCTTTTCGGAAACCGGCTTGTTCGGGAGGCTGGAAGTCGTCAAGTCTGCGCGCGAGACGATTCGTAATGACTCTCGAAAACAGCACGTAGACGCGGCTCAGAAGGGAAATCGGTCTGTAGTTCTTCAAGAGAGCGTTGTCGCCTTTCTTGAAGAACAAGACCACCGCACTTCTGCTCCACACTTCCGGTGTAATGCCACCATGGAGGACGGAATTAAAGAGCTTCTGAAGGACTTCAAGTACCGGTTTTCCACCCGCTTTCAGAAGCTCCGCTGTAATTCCATCCTCGCCTGGGGCCTTGCCGTTTTTGAGGTGCTGGAGAGCCATTCTAATCTCGCTCAGACTGACGTCCGGGATATCATCGGAATAATGTCGGATAAGACTCGCTCTTGGATCGTTACTCACACTTGCGTGCGGCTCCAACGATGACGTGTACAGCTGCCCATAGAACCTCTCAATCTCACTCAAAATCTCAGGTGCCCCGGAAACGATGCTGCCACATTCGGTCTTCAGCTTTGACAGTTGGCTCTTTCTGGCAGACAGATCTCTGGCAAAGACTTTGGAGCCTTGGTTCCGCTCGATCGCTTCTTCAATACGAGCTGTATTGAAGTAGCGTAAGTACCGCCGCATGCATTTGGAGATCTGTCTGTTCAGTTGCCTGTATGCTGTCAAATCTGTTGAAGAATGTAGCTTCAGCTCCCGTCTAACAGCCATGAGATTAAGAGTGTGATCGGAGAGTTTTTGTGTTCTTCTGCGGCGGGACTTGCAGAACTTAGCTCCGACCGCATGGACAGTTTCCATGAGCTTGTCATTCAAATCGTCCACTTCATTGCAGTCTTCTAGGCACTGAAAACGGGTTTACTTCATGAGACGAGACCTCTCCAACTTAACGTTTAGGTTCAGTGTGCCTCTAACCATTCGGTGATCGCTGCCTGTTTTCACCCTCGCGATCACTGAGACATCACTGAACAGTTGTCGTCTGGTCGTCATAATGAAGTCAATCTCATTTTTTGTTGAACCGTCGGGGCTCGACCAGGTCCACTTCCTGTGGGGCCTCTTC